AAGCAAGTACATAACAGGCTTCCAATACGCTGCTGAGCGCTCTGGCATTACAGACACATTCGTGGATGGGTGAGTATGGGATTCTGACTGAGCATGCGTAATGGTGAAGAGACAGCAACAAATGGAGAGGACTGATCAAACAGGGGAACGTGCATACCTGGGAATATGACACAACCACAAAAAAGAACCAAGTTTTCCACGAACAGGTATGGAAAGATCTGATAAGACAGTCAAACAGAAAAAAAGGACGAAAGCATGGGGCCGGCACAATGGCTTAACTGGCTAATCCTCCACCTGCAAGCACTGGTACATCATATGGACACCTGTTCTTGTCAAGTGGTTGCTCCACTTCCAATCCAGCTCCTTGCTTACAGCCTGGGAAAGCAGAAGAAGGTACTTAGGTCTCTGTACCCTCGTGGGAGACCTGGAGGAAGCTCCTGGCTCTTGCTTTTGGATCAGCCCAGTTTGGGCTGTTGTCAGTGATGGAAGGCCTTCTCTCTAGTTCTTCTTTCTGTAAATCTACCTTTTCAATAAAAATAAACAAATCTTAAAAAAAGACAAAAGCATCAAAGTTCAATGCAACAGCCAGATGGTATGCATATTTTATTTAAATCCCATCCAGATTCCCATAAGAGGAGGCATTCCAGCCATTCCATCACTTAATCGCTATATAACTTGGAGCATATTACGCAACTTTCTGTATGCTTCAAATTCCTGTGCTACAAAATAAGGGTGGTGATAATCGCTGGTCCTGCAAGGGTGAACTGAGATAAGACTTCAACCTTTTAGGACGCCTGGCCTGAGGTGAAGACTCTGGAGTCCTCATTATTTAATCCAATACTTGCGTAGTGGGAACTGGAAGTGCCTGCTAGGGCCTCAGATCTGGGTTTCTATGTCACCTGATCAGCTAATGAAAAGCACATCTTCCCTAAATCCCAGTTATATTACACAGGAATAATAATATACCACCTAGGGTTATTAAGAAGTTTAAACAGATACACAGACAATGATACCTAAGTGGTAGCCATTCTCATCTCTCTAAGGAAGAAGAGATGGAAGAGAAACAAAATAGGTGAGGTTAAAGATACAAAAGGCTCTGCTAGGCATTGTAGCAGTGTGGGTTAAGCCACTGCTCAGGCCAGCAGTTCCCATACCAGAACACAGGTTCAAGTCCTGGCTGCGCCACTTCCAATCCAGGTGCTTGCTGGTGCACCTGAGAAGCAACAGGTGGCTGCTCAAACACGAGGCGTCCCCGCTAATGACATGCCAGACCCAGATGCAGCTCCTGGCTCCAGCTGCCATTTGGGGACTCAACCGGCAGATGCAAAACCATTCTAGCTTTGAAAGAAACAATAAATCTTGCAAGAAACAAACAAACAAAAAACCACAAAACATGCAAGGTTAAGATTGGAAATCTGAGCACTCTTAGCTCCTTCCTAGAACAGCACTTTTGCTTTTTATAAGAGGTGTGTGTGTGTGTGTGTGTGTGTGTGTGTGTGTGTGTGTGAGAAACTGCTGATTAAGTAGCCTTTTTCCCTTCTAATTGCACAAATGTTTTCACCCCAGCATACCAGGGAACAGCGAAACCTCCCCCAGCCCAGCCCCAGAAGGACAGGGGTGTGGTTGGGGCCACCTGTGCACAGGGATATAGACCTGCACCTGGCCATGGAGGAGCCAGGTCACTGTTTGCATGTGAACGGTCGACAAGGCTCCACCTTGGGTTTTGTGCCAAGCCAGGCCTTTAGCCTCAGGGAACACATCCGGCTGAGGGGTGACAGGAAGCCGAGGGCCAGAGGCTGGCACCTCCCTAGAAAAAAAACCCGTGGCTAGGCAGTTTACCCCCAAGAAGCTCCTACCTCCTGTCCCATCCTCCTCTGCATTGGCCAAACTCCGGGCTGGTCTGTTCTGTGCCTTAATAAGGCTGATGAAACTAATCGTGAGAAGAGGGACTGACACTGGTCACCCGCACACTCCCCGCCCTCGGATCATCTCACCTAATCCTAAATGTAATCCCACACAGCAGGGACCAATGTGCTCACTGGAGGAGCCGTCTGCCTACGGCCTCAGCGCTGCCAAACTGGGCGTGGGCAGTCGGACTTCCAAGCTGCCCTCCTGCAACTTGGTTATCTGCCTCTACAGGTGGTCGGGGATGTGCTTCTGGACCGAAGCTCTGCTACAGACCGGGCCCTGATGTCTTAGCTCCTGAGCTAGATCTACCCCCGTGTGAGGATGACGCTGGTGAAGAAATTTGGTTTCACCTTTGGAGGCAACTGAGAAGCTCCTGATGTTTTTCCTAATGACAAGGTACAGACAAGTCACACAGGTTGGGAAATGTGCCCACCCCTCCCAGTCCTGCACCCCAGCAACAGGCAGCTCGGCAGGGCTGGTGTTTGCAAAAGACACCTGCCCTGACCTCTCTCTGGCCTCTAAAGGAAAGAACATTTGCCAAGGGACAGGACAACAAGGGCATGTGACACGACCTTCTTTCCTTTCCTGCCGAGGCCTCTGGCAAGCCAGCCAGTTTCACAGCTGATGACAGGCGAGCTAGGTAACACGGGGAACACGGTGGGGGTGGGACGGCATTCACTGAGGGCTGCGGCCACCTTTACCTCTGTGCTTAAAAATGACAATACCTTTATTTTCGTAAGCACCTGGAGCTACCTCCAACTCCCAAGTGTAAATACTGCTGAAAGCCAACTTGACATTCTTGAGGGGCGGCCTCGATCTGGAAGGGCGAGTCCTTTCACGGCCAGCCCAAAGATTCTAAGGAAGGGAAGTCTGTCCTGTCCTTAGGGATTGTAATTCACAAAGTGTACCTTCCAGCGTAACTCAGGCTTGAAGCAGCAGGAATTCAAATGTAACAACTCAGCCTGGGACAGAAGATCCACTAAGTATTTCTTTTGATCTTCCAAGCCTTTCTGCATCTCCCACCAGCAGGTGTGTTAATTAAGGGCAGGACTGTAGCCAGTTAGGGCTGGAGCCCTGGTTAGATCTCAGGACCTACCTGGGCTATCCCAGAAATGCCTACAGAACCGGAACTGCTCCCCCACAAGCACCTCCCTGTCGTTCGGGGTTCCTAAGCTTCCCAATGTCTCTGGGGGAGACTGTGATTTGCTCTCCAGGACTGGAGTGTCTTTGCCCGCACAGCAGCGACAGAAAAACCAGCAAGCATTCCCATCTGATGCCATAATTAGCAGAGCCAGGCAGCCAGCCCAAACCACCCGCACATTTCTCAATCGCTCTGCCTCAGCCTCACTGGCCAAGCTCTACTCCGTTTCCCCGGGGATGATGCAGTACAGCGGCATAAAGAAGCTGTGGGCGGGCAGCCAGATCCGTGTGGAAAGGAAGGCTGAGGCTTCGCTCTACTGCTCCTGCGCCAGGCCCAGCCGTGGCATGGCAAAGCCACTGCACCTTGCACACACGGAGAGGGTGCCATCTGCTGAATTTTTTGGATCAGGAAGCTAAAGTTAGAAGAACAAGTGCTTTTCCAGTGGCATGGCCAACAGGGCAGCTGGCATCTCACTCAAGTGACCCTGGGGTCCACGCGGGCAAAGCCACACTGTAAGAGCAAATAAAGTTCCCCAGCAGATAGGGCCAAATCCATCCACTGGGTGTGCAGAACATTCTTCCGTGAGTTGGAAGGGGTGGGGGTGGGGGGAAATGCAGCTTACAGAAAAGTGCATAACCCCCTAGTGTTTGAACTAGTAGTTGTTTACAGGAATAAATATAAACGTTTGCTTGAGTCCGATGGAATTCCTCCAGCGAAGACATGACTAGCCCTGGCTTTCCTCCAGGTGGTCCTTAGGGGACAAATGCAGGTGGAAGGTGTTGCATTCTTTGGCACTAAAAAATTACTGAATGTATCCCCTAATCAAATATGAGTTAAAAAATAATAGTTTTCAGACATTCATCTAGCATCTACTTAACCCATGCCAGGCACGGGGATAGATGCTGTTTTCCAAAAGCTTGGCAGGAAGGAGGTGAGACAATCAAGACAGATCATTAGAATGCAGTGAGAAGTCAGTGAGCGGCACGAGCGGCACGCAGGGTGAAGACACTGGCCTAGGAGACAACCAGGGAAGGTCTGTTCCCAACAAGTACTACCTGGGCACCGGGCACCCACAGTACCTGCGCCCGGACTCCTGGAAGATGGACGAGTGATGTGCGCCAGGCGACTGCCAAGCACAGGTGGGCAGAGGCGATTAAAGGACACCAGCATTCCCTTCTATGCCAGACCCTCAGGAGTGTGAAAGCGTGATTCTGCTTTCCTCTGCCACCCACGCTCCTCCAACACCCATTTAAACACACCCGGGCCTCCCACTGTGTAAGTGTGCCAAAGGGCACCGATGCGGCTGACATCTGCAAAGTACTTGCAAGAGCTCCGAACACAAAGCGCTTTACTAGAACCGGTCAAGTTCACCGCAGCCCGGCACAGAGGCAATGCTCGCCGCTCAACCCGCAAACATCTCAGAATACCCGCATCGCTTCCCAGAGCTGCGGCCTGCTGCACTAGGCATTCCCTCCTAGGATACCAAGAATCTGTATGGATTCCGAAGAAGGGGAACGCCTGCCCCGCGTGGGGCTCAGAGAGCAAGAGCCCCTTTTGCTCACCCTGCCTCGATTTCCCCCAACGCCAAACCGCTCATGTCTCCCTCAGATCCTCCACCCGCGAGATCGGCGGTGATGGGAGAACGTCCTCCCCGGACGTGGCGAGCAGGTGGCCGGGGTGCAGACAGGTGTCCGCCCGCGCGCGGCGCCCTCCCGGTGCGGTCCCCGCCGCGGGCACGCGGGCCCACCAGTCCCTCCCGCGCCGGTGCCCAGTGCGGCCTCCCCCCGCCAAGACGCACGGTGCCCATCCTAGCGGCGAGGTAGCCCGGCCCGCCTCCCCGCGCGTGGTGCCCGCTGCCCACGCCGCCGCGCCGGGGCACGCCGCCCAGTGCGCCCCGGACACGGGGGCTTCCTGGAGGCGGAGCTCGCGCCGCGCGACCACGGCTGCTCACCAGTTTCCAGAGCCCACGATGCACACTTTCAGGGGTGCCGCTGCCATGGCCAGGCCGAATGCAACAACCCGAGACGTGCCCGACTGGCCGGCCGCCTGCTTGCCTCTCCTGCCTCTCCGCTCGTTCCGCTCGGCCCGCAGCGGCTCACCCGCCGCCCGGCCCGCCCGTCTGTCTTTCCGCCAATGGCCGCGGCCACCCCCGCCCGGGTGCCTGAGGCCACAGCTGACAGCCGGGAGGACCCGCCCTGTCCTTCCCTGGACCCAGTGCGCACGCCTGGCCCCTGCGGGCCGCCCCGCCCTCCTACCCGACGCGTGTCGGGACTTGTAGTCCGTACCCCGTGGCCCGCGCGTGCAAGGGCGGTCGCTTCCACCGCACCACGTGTGTGCAGGCCCGGGTCGGCGGCGCGGCTGGTGCGCCCGGGGCGCGCAGGCTCAGCTCGGTTCCTTACGAAGCCACAGGCTTGCGCCCGCCCCCAGCGTGACCCCGGCGCGGGAAATCTCACCGCACAGACCTGAGACAGAGGGGTGAGTTCGCACTCCCAGCTTCACAGCCTCGGGCTCGCGGTGGGAAGTAGACGCACAGCCAGGCGGCCCGGCCCTTGGCCGTGACCTCGGAACTCTGAGACTTTGGGGACTGGTCTGCACAGGATCAGCAACTCCAGGGTTGGAGTCCTTTTTCTAAATTAGAAACAGGTGGAAGGGAGGCAGTCCAGCCCTCGCCATCTACCTAGCGGGACGCTACCATTGCCCGCCGTCTCCTCCTGCTGCGTTGGGAAACCACACTTCCCCCTTCGGGACAGGTGGAGTTTTATTTAAACTTCTGCGGCGTCTCCGCGCGCGACGCTGGTAAAGTCCTTTACCAACTGCCGCCTGCCCTGCACCAGCTCCTGTCAGTGACATCCAAAGCCCCTGAGGAGGGAGCCCGTGGCAGAATTTTTTGTCTTTTAGAGCTCAGGGCTATTTTATTTTATTTTTTTTAATTTTTTTTTTCTCGTTGTCACTTTTTTTTTATATATATAAAATTTATTTTGACATTCTTTACATAGTTAGTTAGAGTAAGAAGGTTCAAGGGCTACAGGAAAGTGGATAAGACTAGTATGTTTTCCATATTGTTACCTTCATGTTTAAAGGGGGGCATGAAGGGAGAAGGCACACCCAATTTCCCACCCTCCCCAGGTCCCAGATGTAGGGCATGCTCTGAGGTTCTTGCTCAAGTGGTTTTGATATTGCCACAGTTATGAATCGCTGTCCATCTTGCCACTCCAAGCACTATGAGGTCTTTGAAAAATCCACTGATTGACATAGTCCATCATAGCTGAGATGGTTGGTTGACCCGTTCTGTCTTCTCTCTTTTCTTCGTTAGGGTTCTGACTCCAGCATTTAGATTAGGAAGATCTCCAAAGAAACTTCTTGTATGTGCTAACAAGTACAGGGCCTGGCACCGTCCATCGCCCCAATCAACTGGTGGTTGTAATTGCTGGGTTGATTCTGTTTTCACTCCCGACTTCCACTGGAACCAATGGGTGTTGCAGTCCAGGGGCTATTTTAGATAACTGAAAATTCAGTGGAGACTGGGCAAAAAAAAAAAAAAAACCAAGTTACTTTGCCGACAGGCCTGTTGAGCTGAAGTCCTTTAGATGAACTCTGCCTTTTGTTTTCATCTGTGTTTCCTAGGAAACGGTTACAGCAGTGGTCCAGGCGTGCCTTCCCATTCCCTCTTGCTTTCGCCCTGTTATTCTCCCGCATGCAATGATGCAGGTGGAGGTCAGGGAAACGGAGCGAAGCTTGAATGCTTTGCCTTGGGATGACAACGTGGGTTTGTCAAATTACACGATGAGGTGTTTGGGCACCGCAGAGGTCCACGCCTCAGAGGCACCTGCATCCTTCATCTAAAAGTTGTATACCTCATCTGAGAACTTATTCCTGAATGTTCCAAGTACAGCCGCCTAAAGGGGGCTGCCTGGCCATGCAAGACTTGGTCCCAGCACAGTAGCCTAGTAGCTAAAGTCCTCCCCTTGATTGTGGCCAGATCCCATATGGGTGCCAGTTCGTATATCCTGGCGGCCCAGCTTCACATCCAGCTCCCTGCTTGTGGCCTGGGAAAGGAGCAGCCAGGGCTGCTGATTTTCTTGCAGATCAAACAGCTCAGCGTGGGAGGTTTGCAGGGAGCTCAGCACCGGGGTGGCCCCTCCATCAGATCTTGGCTCAAGTTTGGATCAGGAGCCACGCCCAGCTGCATCCAGCTGCCAGGCGGCCTCACCCTGTGGAAAGCATCTGCAGAGACCAGGTAGTTAACTCTGGGAAGAGGAGCCGCTCTGCACCTCAGAGTCCTCTCCCAGGCCGACGTGGTCAAACAGATGGAAGAATTCCTGTGTCTCCAAGGGCGCCGTCCCGGAGCTGTGCTGTGCCTTAGCAGGTGGTGGATCAAGTGTTGCAAACCCAGGCCCTCCTGGGCGACCGGAGCTGCAGAGCATCAAAACCAAACCAAACCAAACCCTATTTTTTAAAAAGGTTTTATTTGAGAGGCTGATTGAAAAGATTTATTTATTATGCCACCATTGTAATATTCTGTGAGGCCTTCATTCTTTCCTTTTTAAAACAGATTTATTTATTTGAGTTACAAAGAGAGGGTGGGGGGGAGGGACAAAGAGACAGGTCTTCCATCACTGGTTCATTGCCCACATGGACACAACTGCTGTAGTTGGGCCATGCTGAAGGCAGGAACCAGGAGCTAGGAGCTTCTTCTGGGTCTCCCAGATGGGTGTGTTGTGTCGGATTTTGAAATCCCCAGAAAATCATCAAGTCTGAAGTCGGTGCTAAGGCATAAAGGCGGTTTATTCAGGTTAACCTAGGTCCCCCAGCCAGCTCCCCCAGCCCAGGGCTGGGTGGGAGAGGGGCAGCCGCAGCCTATGCTGCTGCAGGATCAGCAGGGATGACCAAAAAGGAAGCAGAGAGAGCCAGCACCCACCTCCCCACCTCCTCCCCCCCCCCCATTGAATAACCCAGTGGTTCAGGCTATTAATTATACAGTCATGATTTAGCAGGCTTCTATTGGTGGGTTTGAACCAAGCAATTTTGAAAAAGTACAAATCGATGGGCTATAGGGCGGTGGATCTTATCAAACACCAGGTACCTCCTTCCTGAGGAGTGGTCTGCCTACGTGACCTGCCAGGTGTCCTGCCGGGTGTCACATAGACTGCCAGGCCTGGAGCTCACCCAACCCCCAGCCAAGCCATGAAGGCAGAATCATAAAAGGCAGAAAACACTTAGGTTCTTCAGGTGCAGGGCCCAAGCATGCGAGCCATCTTCCACTGCTTTCCCAGGCACATCAGCAAGGAGCCGGATTGCAAGCGGAGCTGCTGGGTCGCAAACCAGTGCCTAGATGGGTGCTGGTGTGGCAGGCAGTGCTTTGCACGCTATGCCACAGTGCCGGCCCTGATATTTAGGAGTTGGACCTACTTACTTTTATTTTTCTTAAGATTTGTTTATTGGAAAGTCAGATATACATAGAGAAGGAGAGACAGAGAGGAAGATCTGCTGTCTAGTCATTCATTCCCCAAGCGGCCGCATCAGACCTCTGTAGCCTGAAATAAAGTCAGCAGGACTCAATGGGACATTCCAGACACTCCTGATGAGCTAAAGCCAGCAGGATCTCTTCCAGCGAATTCCCAACATTCCTGGATGGGAGCATCGGCTTGAAAAAGCTGGCCATCATGGAGTCACTTCTGCTCTGCCCAGCCTACCATCCTGGAGGGAGGGAAGCACACTCCAACAACAAGACGTCAGCGACAGGTGGATGAGCTGTGGCCGTTAGGCCAGCTAAGAAACCCACAGTCCGCATCAGAGTGCCCTGGGTTCAACTCCAGGTTTCTGGGCCCCTGACTCCGACTTCCCATCAGAGCAGGCCCCAGGAAGTTGGGTCCCTGCCACTTCTCTGGGAGTCCCAGACTGAGTTCCCAGCCAGGGCTTCACTCTGACCTAGCTTCAGCTCCTTCTGGTATTTGGAGAGTGAGCTGGGTGTGAAGAGCTCAGTAACCTTACTGGCCTCCAGATCAGTCGAAAGCCTTGAGCGCCTTGATGGAGGCTCACAGTAACAAAGGTGCAGTGTGGTGATTGGCAAAGTGAGTCATGGGGCTGTAGGTCAGCTCAGGGCAGCCCGGGCCGGGCGTGTCAGCGCTGATGACATGCGTAAAGCTGGCAGGGCAGGCTGGATCAGTCAGGGCTTTGCCGTGGATTTCAATGAACTTGTGCCTTCCGGCCCTGTATGTCATCTGCTGTCAGGGCACACATGGCTCTTCCTTAGGGAAACAATGACAGGAAATATTCTCTCAGTGCTTGGGGCCTGTGGGTGGATCGGAGTGAAGCTCAGCAGTCCTCCTTTTCAGCACCTTGGGGTTGGCCCTCATTTCACCTGCTTCTCTGAATCATGAACCCACCTGTGGCTCTGCTGGATATAAAGGTCCCTGAGTCCTGCTTGTATGTAAAGAAACCGGGCTTTCAGTTTCTTTTGCTGTCTCACTGTAATGTCTTTCTGTTTTGGAGCCAACCCTGAAGGTCTGTGTCTTGGCAGTTCTGCTCCAGTGGATTCCAGGGTTTTCTGTCCCAACCTGAGTGAGAGCAGCGGGGAGATGACAGCAGTGTCCTTCCCCAGCAGCTTTCACAGGGGGAGACGGGACAGATGGCCTGCAGGGAACCAAGCCTTCCTGAAGCGTCTCCCCTAGCAGATGCAGCAAGCGTGTGTGTGTGTGTGTGTGTGTGTGTGTGTGTGTGTGTGTGTGTGTGTGTACTTGCCTGCCGGGTATTTGTGCAGAGTTACTGCTGTGTCCGTGTGTTTTTTTTTTTTAAAGATTTTATTTTTATTATTTTTTTATTGGAAAGGCGGATATACAGAGAGGAGAGACAGAGAGGAAGATCTTCCGTCCGATGATTCACTCCCCAAATGAGCGCAACGGCCGATGCTATGCCGATCCGAAGCCAGGAGCCTCTTCCGGGTCTCCCACGCGGGTGCAGGGTCCCAAAGCTTTGGGCCGTCCTCGACTGCTTTCCCAGGCCACAGGCAGGGAGCTGGAAGGGAAGCGGGGCTGCCGGGATTAGAACCGGCGCCCATATGGGATCCCGGGCGTGCAAGGTGAGGACTTAACCACTTGCGCCACCGCGCCGGGCCCAGTCCGTGTGTTTT